AACAAAAAAATTTAGACTTCATTTTAGATTATTAGATTTCTCTCTGGAGGTTTTTAGACTAAGCTCTAAGATGCTACCAAAAGCAACATCTTCCCCAGCTGAGTAACAGAAAGAGCACAGAGAAACCTTCTCCCCATCACCTCTCCATCCCTTTGAAAGTCACCTCTACCTCCTCCCCACCTCCCTGAAATATTCCATACGGAAAGGAAGACAGTTCAAGAAACAGCAGAAACAAAAACAATGAAGCAAGCTTCACTGGACACCGGGGATTTGGAAGGAGAAAATTCCCTGACACAGAAAGAATCCCAAGTCTGGCCAGAAAAGATGGAATTTGTAACAAAGAATACAACAGGCCAGACTAAATTTTCACTATCGACACTTAGATGGAAACAGGAGGTTTTCATAATGGATTTTCAAATCTGAAAGTCAAATACAGCTGTAGTTTGACAGGGGCTGACTCACTGAGCTTCAGGGCATGCTGAGGCACAATCACACATTCTGTTTGCTTCCAAATTCTCCCAGAGAGGCATGAACCGGTGAGCTCTGCTTTGAAAGGGACAGACAATTTTATCATGGATACTATGCCCTAAACCTCAGTTCTTTTACCACATATTATTCTCAGCATATTTATAAAATATAAGACAAGATCTAAAAAATCTTACAATCCTGTGATAAAGTAACCTTTTTCCTCTGAACAGCTACTAAGGTCAGGCTCCACAGGAAAAAAATCTGCATATTAACTGACAGCAGTTGCAAATCCACAGGACTCAAACAGAAGAGCTGCTCTATCTCTAGATAAATAGGGCAGCAGGACTATGTGGGTCTAATCAATTCATCTGAATGAAACACCAAATTACACATTCCAGTCTGCAGAAATCCACAAAGAAGTCAACAGCAGAAAACACTATGTTCAGTAAAAACCACCCATTGTCAAGTGCAACAAAGTAGGAGGAAAATATATGTTAGGACTGAATTTCTGGCTGTGAAACATCATCTGAAGCCAACTTCTTCTAAAGCAGTTTTCCCTGCAGGATGTTGATGGCATCAGGAGTGCAGTGAATTGGAACCTGCCTCATTCAAATTATTGTTGCCAGCAGTGTGTGCAGCACAGCAAACTGCTGCTGCACAAGCATGTCAAAGCCAGCCTTTATCATCTTTTGCTTCCTGAAAGTAACAGATCATCCCAAATACAATTATATCATCTCAAATACAATTAGCACAGGACTGGCTTATTACCAACAGAAGCACATTTCAACTTTGCTCCTAGCAAACAAAGAAAGAACAAACGTTCTGATTGAAATTTGGCTTAATAATTTCAGCAAACACTTGTTTGCAGAACTCGAAAAGCTGTTAAATGCTTACTGCAGATGTTGGCTTATAGGACCAGAAATTTACTTTCATAATAAGAGGTTTCCCTGAAGATCTATGGTTTATGGCACTGAAGCAGAAATTTATAAAGCCAATTCCTGGTCTTACAGAAGCTGGTAAAGACTTTGCCATTGATTCCCATAGGGCCAGCATCACTCTTTCTCTAAGAAACAGAAACCATTTAATATCAACTTTTTACTACATTCTAGTGTAAGATACTCTATACGCACTGCAATAAATGCAAGTGGGAAGCTTTTATATTAGAAGACATTTCTGCTTTGAGATAGAGAAGCAGTGAGAGGAAATGCCAGAAGTCCTCTGAACTTCCCAAGCGAATTAAACTCTAAACTTTGTTTTCCTTAAGAACAGTAATTACATTCTTACCCTAAAAAATGTCACTGTCCTTAAATAAGCCTGCAGAGATGTCATCACTGAGTGAACCTTCCAGGATGGAGAAATCTACTCCAAGTTGTTTAATCACTCCAAGTTGTGGGGACTCTGATCCTAACCACACAAGGGTGGAACGATCTGAAGCAGCATTTAGAGGCCAAAGTAAATTGGATGGGATTTGTTTCCTCCAATGATTTAGTTAATTACTTTTCACATTAAGCTAGCTATTCAGGTAATTCTAGAAACAATTGCAAGGCCTGAGCACTCTGTGGCCGACCAGATGTGAGCTCTGACAGAGAGCTGTGTGGGTGCCAGGCTCACACAGAGGCAGCCAGGTGTCCCTTGCCTGCTGACAGAGCACCTCAGATCCACCAGCTGGGCTTTTGTATCCACACAGACACTACAGAGCAGAAATCAAGGGGGTTGGCAGAGCAGCACACTCTTGTTTAAAATGACATTACAGATTCCCCTGATAACAGCAACAAATTAATTTCTTTAGACCCAGAGCAAAAGCCCTGCTTCTTCCATGGACTCAGCTGATCCAAATGCTACTTTATTTTCCTCCCTCCTCCTTAAAAAGGAAAAAAAAAACCCCACGTAAACTTTAACTGCAAATATGTGGACCTGCAAGCCTTCCAAGACAAAGGAGAGAAAATAAAATTGATGAGATCATGGGAATCTCAGTCTTACAGGTAGCAAGCATCAGCAGAAGAATATGCAGTGTGCAACAGCTTTGCTTCCCAGTCCTGCATTTCCAGAAGTCTTGGCCAAGTCCTACCATGTAAGAGGCAGGGATAGCCCTAGCAAATCCCACTTTCTAGAAAATCCAAGGAACTCAGGGCATGGCTTCTGCAGTGCAAGTGAGAACACACAAAAGATGTTCCATTTTATCACAGGCATCCAGGAGAAATGCTGGGGTTTGTGAGGCTGCAGAGCAGGAAATGGGGACAGAGGATCCAGGGACATCAAGTGGAAAGGAACTCCTGACAACCACAGTCCACCTTCCACGTGGAGCACTACAACCAGAACCACCCATTCCCTGCAACTTTTAACTACATGATTCTTGTTCTGTTTTTTATGTTACAGGGCTGTAACAGCTTATTAAGTATGTGGGAGTGTCTGCATGGCCAACAGCAAGAGAGGACAACAAAACATTTCATCTCCAGGCCTTGGCTCCTCACTTGGACAAGCACAAGCAACACAAGTGAACTTTGGGACAGCACTGGGGGGGAATCAGTCCTCTCACAGCTCCTAATCAGTAGGGAAAAGGGAGCTGTGGTCCAGAGAAAATGAAGTCAGCAATCCCCAGGAGGAGGTGAAAGGGCACCTTCCCAGGCTGGGGCCCTGCTGATGGCACCCCTCTGGCTGTGCAGGAGTCCTTTCTTCTGCACTCACAAAAGAATCTAAGCAAATAATTGAAAAGTGCCTCAGGGCAGAGCTTGCTGCTAGATCAGGTTTGCCCTGTTTAAACAATAAATGAGGTAATGCATGAAACTGCCTTCTATTTGAGGACACTTCATTCATAAAACAGAAATACCAAAAGCTTCACAACCAAATAAACTTCATAGATGGGTTTAAAAGGCCCCTGCACCCCTCCCAGCAAGAGAGCAGAGCAAGCTGTAGGGATTCTGTGGCACAAGGCACACTGTTTCCAAGGACAGCTCTGCGACTTGAAATGAGAGCTGACAACTTCCAGGTCATTAACCCAACAGTGTAAACAGGACCTATGGACATGTACATGCATTCAGGTGGGCTGGAGCAATGGCCCCAAGTGCAGAAGTCTACAAACACTGCTCTGATTTTTGTTCAGAGTTTCCAGGAAAACTTTTACTCTCTGCTCCCTTTTCCTCATCCTCAGGATATGTGGAGCCTGGTGCTGGCTATATTTGCGTTGCTAGCTGAAAGAACAGCAGAACATGCCAAGCATTTAATAACAAAATTCCAGCCTTGTGACACAACCCAGTAATCCCAAGACTGGAAGCTAACCTCATATTTCTGCTCAGCATAAAACCTTAATACTAAGAAGAGCACCGCTATTTTTATTTTGCCTGAACCTTTTCTACAGAGGTGCATCTCACAAGTCAAGAAACCTGCTGTGCACCAGGTGGAACAGGGCTGTATTACCTATGTACCTGTGGCATCTATAGATTGGTGATTATGACAACACAGGAGCTGCTCAAACTAGCTGTGCTGATCTGTGTGTTCTTACACAGAGCTGGTTTTAGCTGGGTGAGCTGCTGTCATGGCCACTCCTGGTGCCCACTACCTCAGGGCCCCTCTCGGGTCACTCCTCTGAAGGGGAAACAAATGGAGCTTTGCAGGGTCCTGGCAGGATCACAGCTGGGTGTGAACATGCACAGAACAATCCCCATCTAACACCCCAACTGCAAAATGGCAGGGCAGGAGGCTCAGCAAGGCCCAGGGTCAGCCAAACGTGCATAGCAGACATATCTAATGACTCATCGAGACCTCTGCAAAAGGGAGGAAAGAAGTTCCTCCAACTCCAGGTTGATGTTTCAACCACTGTCTGCCTTGATCATTTCCATCACCAGATCCCAACCAGCTTCTCACTGCTGCAGCTGTCCTGGCTTTGACACTAGTCAGGCTTGCAGTGCAGAAAGTGCCATCAGACACCTGAAATTCCATTTTATAACAGCTTTTACCAGCAGTAACTGTGCTGCAGATGTGAGGCTGTGCCTGACAAAGCTGCAGCACAAGCCTCTGCTCCATCTCAGCATAGATAGCAGGCCCCCTCATCTGTGCCAACTTACAAGTCACAAAACAGCAGAAAAATTGTGGCCCTGCACACAGTTCTGTACAGCTGCAATATGTGATACATAAAACTGCAAATGCAAGAGTTTTAGGGGAAGACACAAACTGTATTGTGCTAACAGTAGTAATTTGTGCAGAGGGTATATTTGTTCCCATACTCAGAAGCAGAGAAGGTTTGTACCCCTTTTAAGTAGCTCTAATGTGTGCTGAACCACAGAGTTCATGCAATTTTGGGCTGCCTTGCCCTGGCACTATAATGTTTCCTGCAAAGCTCTTTCCATTCCCAATATGACGGGCACGTTCTACAAAGACCATGATCTAGCCATGTTACTTGTAAAGGACACAGAGAAGCATCATTTCAGAAGAAACACATTTACCTTCAATCTTGCCTAAGTCATCTTTGGTATCTCTGCTAGAAGCAATCTCAGGGACCTGAGTAAAAGGCCAGCAGCAGCCCCTGCTACACTTACTCTGCGGAATGACACCACATAGAAGGTATCTTCCCTTCGGTGAATCGCTTCAAAGAAGTCCTGATAGCTCCTTGGAGAGGCATAATACACTTGCAGCTCATTCCCTGAGTTCCTGCTGAAATAAAGAAGGGCAAAGGTAGTTATTTTAGACAGGACAGTTAATTTCAGTGAGACTTTGGAGACCTGCTTTTTAAAGGAACTCCAGCTCTTCCTCCACTGAGAGAAGCTTGAGGAACACAGAACACAGGTGAAGGCAATGAAACTACTCAGTACTTTTTGAAAGTTCAAGGTGTTTCAAAGGTCTTACTGTGGCAAAGTTTTCCAGATTTGTTTTTGTTCATGCTTCCGAGGCCAGCAAAAACCTGTTTGCTAGCTCAACAGGAAAAAAAGGTTTCAACCTAAAGTGTCTGAAAAATTGTGATGACTTCTGAAAATAAATTTAAGGATAAAATGTCATTCTGAAATAAAATATCAAACTATTTCGTAATGAAATAATTTTCTTTTACTGCTAAGAATCCAAACCACTGAAATTGAAAGAAGTACAAAGTTAAGCATAAACAAAGCTTTTAATTTACTGTCAAATGACAAATTCACCTTCTTTCTCACTCACATTTCTTTTCTTTTTTTTCTGCTGTGTCCTCTTGTCAACTCAAAGATTTTTCCCCTGGTCAACTCCAAGGTTTGTTCTTGATTTCAATTTAGACAGAGAAACAAAAATAAGATATTCACATAATTCTGGCTTATCTTTTCCACGGTTCTCATCTTACACATGAGACACACAGAAAAGATGCTCTAAACCATTCTAAGCCGAAACACTGGTAATTCCTACAGTCATGGTACTTATCCACTGTTTATCTTGGAAAGGTGAGAAATTCCTAGCACATACTGCTATCATTAATACTTCCCCAATCCCATTCCAAAAGAACTTATTTAATCACACTGGAAAGCTGTACTCAGGGAAACCATCAGCTGGACCTTCAACCTGTCATTTTCATTTCCTCCACTTTAATAGCACACTGTGTGTTTGCAGCAAGGACACGGACCAGGCATCCCTCCCCTCCCAAGCTGTCTTCTGCTGACCCAGGTTTTGAACTAGGAGGGCTAATTTAGATTATTTTAGTATGTTTATAAAACATAACAAGGCACAAATCTATCACCAAGAGATTCTCAAGCAGCAGTAATAACAGGCTGCCACCATCTTCTCTTCCACTGCTAACCGAGTCCTGTCACAAGCAGAAGACTGCAGCTGACAGGGCAGCTGCCCTTTCATAGGACTGGGGGTGTAAGTCCTGGGGGATCAGGAGCAGGCAGCTCTACTCTACACATCCCTTTCTGCAGAACTCTGCATGAGAGGACTCAGCTCCTGTCCTTCACACACAGGAAACAAAGGCTGGAGCTAATTTGAGCTTGATTACTCCTCCACAAAAATACGCAGGCGCAGCAAGTCCCTCCTGAGATGGAGCATGGAGCTGGGCTGTGATGAAAGGCACCAGCACTGGAGCTGGGCTGAGATGGAAGGCACAGCACTGCACATACAACACATCCTGAGAACTGACACAGGCTACACAGAGCTGTGCGCTAGCCCACACTCCGTGTGACACAACAAGACCTGAAAACCAGCCACAGGACAAAACTGCCCCAAAGCACTTAGGAACCACAGGGTCTTTCCAAAGCTCTCATGGTTGTGTAACACACCAAATATGAGCGATACCAGGGGCTTATTGTAGGTACACAGTTTGTGGTAACTGGGAATGGGGCTGTGGCCAAGCCTCATCCCTAGTGGGCTACAACTGTGAAAAGCAAGTGAACAGTATTGAAAGCAATGAGAAACCAATCACAGAAGGGAACAGAGGGCACACAGGTACAGTGCATGAACAATGAGAGGTATAAAAGGTTGGGCTAAAGAACAAGAGGGGCAGATGTTTGCAGCCTTCTGAAGTGATATGATGTCATTCTGTATGGGCAGACACCCGAAGCCTTCTGATGTGATATGGTGTTACTCTGTAAGGGCTGAAGCTTTCTGAAATGGTAAGATGACACTCTGTATCATGGCCATCTCAACTGCAACATGTGCTGTGCTGTATGCTGTGACATATTGCAAGGCAGGACATCACATCTGCCCACAACCGCGATGGACCGCTCCACCAAAGGGAGGGAGTAGCTCCAGAACCAAAACCAGCTGCAAAACTATCAGTTTTTTAAGTAACACTTTTGCATATTACAAGAAAGCACCATCTTAAATTGTGTATCCCAAACAATGGTGCTGAACCTGGCCATTTATTGGGAGATAAAGAGAACTTTTGTTTTAAAATTCTGAAGGACACTGCTTGTCATGAACCACAGAGCACTGGGATGTTGCACACAGACTTGTTTTGGGAAGAAATGAAGCAGGACACAGTGCTTTATGCATCAAGAACCACAATCTTAACAGGGCAAAACTTAGGAAAATAACTGGAGAGTCTCATTTTGATACCTGAAGCCTTAAGAAGCACTCTTACATAAGCCCTCAACAAAATCACCTCTGAAAAAAGCTACACTATACTATAAAGAGATGAGGGGTGATTTTCTTTGAAATCATCTTAAATTTATCTTCTCCACAGCTTTGACTTCCCTGAAATTCTTTTCAATCCTCAGCTTCCTGATGGAGATTACCATGGAGATGGAGACTATCTCTTCTAACAGGCATTCAGTAAACCTGAAGTTAAGCCTTTGAGTAGGACATTGGACTAGAGATCTCCAGAGGTCCTTTATAATCTAAACTTCCCTTGATTCTATGATTTCATGGAGCACCTAATAGCTGGTGGCTCCAAGAGGAACTGGAAATCTGTTATATGTTCTTAGCAGTTCCAGGACAGTCTCAGCATGCAGCTGCCATGACTCACCAGTCCTGTTCACACAAACATCCTTAATCTGAAAAAACCCCAAAAAATCTCACTTCCTTTGGAGCGCAACAGATGCATGATGTTTCACGCTGTTTCCAATAATCCAGATATTTTTTTTTCAAGAGTAATACAAGCATGTATATTAAACTGCCTTATGGCTTGAGGCTTGCTCATCGGTGCTCAGTTGAAGCAGCTATCCTTCATCTGCCTGTAGAACTCAAAAAGATTTTTTTTTTTTCTCTTGTAAGTCAAGATGTATCAAAATTTGACAGCCTGCTCTCCGTAACATTTGCCTGCAGTTTGCTCTTTTCCCCCAGGCTGATGCTGCTTTCAGAGCAGCAGTGCAAACAGGAAGGCCACAGCTGTCTTACTTGCCACAGCACCATTGCAGGTGGTGTTCTCACCAAAAAGTCCCCTCCATACTCCATTCTGCTCTTACACTCCTCTTTGGCACTTCAAAGCAGACAGTCTTCTAAACAGTTTCACACAGAGATCAGGAGAGAGAAGTTTAATTTCCTTAATCTTTTCTGTCCAGTACTTCCCAGGGAAGAGGGACAGGATGGTTATGAAGAGGGGTGGGCAGGGGACATCAGGAAACTGTCCATTAACATGCTCCAATAATCACCAGAGAAAAGTCAGCAGATGGAGACAAAGAATGCAAATGAGATACAATGGTACTTTAAGTTCATCATACCAATTTGGTGCTGGCTCTACCCTTGAAGATAATGAGAGAAACCTTTCCCTTACCAGACTCATGGCTCTTTGAAACCTTCTTATGAACTGACGATGTTCTCAGAGTCCAAAGGCAGTTCCCCCTGTTTTTCCCTAAATATTCAAATCTGTTTAGAAAAGGATTCTGGACAGCAAAGCAAAGATTTTCTTAGAATTCATAGCTAGAAAAGCCCTGGAAGAGTACAGCTGTGATACAGGGGTCCCTTCAACTGTAATATAAATAATTAGAAGATGTTATTTGCTAAGGGACAGAATTAGACCAAGAAAAGTAGATAGATGTATTTGGCTTAAGAACTCCGAGAAGATGAAAATGGTCATTCTTTACCAACTGTTGGTGAAAAACTAGGTTACTAAGTAGAAAGCCATAACAAAGGAGCTGTTCTGCCTTACCTGAGACTGGTGTCTGTGTAAGGCATGGCCATTAGCTGGGAATCTGCTTTGTCACTGAGAGAGCTCTGAAAAAGGGGAAAAAAGAAAAGATGACACAAAGTGAAACCAATAAGCAATTCTGTGGTTTGCCACTACATTAAATACAACACACAGAATGGGGGGCAGAGGTTAATCAGCACCCTGCACCAGAAACGTGCATTTTTCCACTGAAACATGAGAAACTGAAATGGTCATCAATCAAGTTGGAAAAACAAAACCAGCAAGATTTTAATACAGCCAAATTTGAAGCCAACATTCAGAGACAAGAAAGGGAGCTTGGCATCATAGACAGCATCTCTTAACATTCTACCATTCTGCTCTGGACACAGGTGAGAAGGATCTCAAGTTTAATACACAACGCTTCTCTAGAATACTGCAGTCTTTCCCACATTGTAATGCTCTGGACAACCGCCCACCACAACACTGCTACATCTAATAAATTTAAATACTTTGAAAATTCATTGTCTTAATTTCAGCCTCAATGTAAGTATGCCATCTAGATAAAAGAGATTTTAAAAAATAAGAAATATGAGCACAACTCTCATAATTCTGTAGTCGTACCAAAAAAAAAAAAATAATCCCTCTGGCAATAATTTAAACAATAGAAATATTTCAACAAAACGAATCAGCTGTCACCCTTAACAGTGAGTCAGATGAATGTGCTGTAGAGGTTGTATTTCTCTCCACTAAGCAATTGCTTATCCTTACAGAGAAGCCATAAAAAGTATAACAATTTATTTAATTTTAGAAAATTATATAATACATATACATACAAGAACCTATTTTGATGGCTGCAAAAAACAATTCAAAACCCTGAATCCAGGAGCAGGAATGGAAGAACAAATCTGACAATGCAATAACCAACCAAACAGAGCAATTCCAAATGGGATGTGTTGGCTGCCCTAACTGCAGGCACGATGGCCACTTTTGTCGATGATGCCAGGTGCAGGTGAGGGAGAGTGCTCCGTGGGATGGGTTTTTGCTCGCGTACCTGCGGGACTCGCGCTCGCTGCTGCTGGCTGTTGCTCAGGCGCCGCGACCGCGTGCGCTCCACCTCGTGCCTGTGCACCCATCCTCGCAGCTCGTGGGTCAGCCTAGGAGAGCACAGCATCAGCACACGCTGCACACAGCACTGGCACCATGGCTCAGTGTTATGCAACAGCTTAGCTGCCATGGAGATGATGCCTTGGGATTTTAGCTCGTATGTTTTTCATATATTTGTAATCCTGCAGTTCTTTAGCGTATACACATACGGTGTTAGCTACTGTCTTCACATTTTGGTCAGACACAACAATTCCTCTCTAGGCCTGGGAATCAAAGACACCTCCCTGCCTTAGGCCCTGAGAAACATAAACAAAAGTGAGTTGGGGGGGTGCAAACTTGGGTTAAATTACTTCATTACCTGAACCTGTAATTGGAAGATTAACCCCCAATATGCAAATGGACCAAACATGCAAAAGTATGAAAAACCATGACTGTCATCCATTTTTGGGTGTAGGCCCTGGATGAGCTTCGACTGCCCAAGGTGTACCTATTGCAGGCCTTTAATAAATACCCTGCTTTTACTCTGTTAGTCTTGTCTAGCCTCTGTTCTAGGTGGCCACTACAAGGCATCACAGACACTGAAGATTACTATTATTTCACCTTATAATAACTTATTTTTAATACCACAGGAAGAAAATACAATTTTAAGATTTATCTATAAAGTATTAGATTCACAGGTGTTCCCACATAAAATAGATGTGGAAACACCCATTCTTTTGTCCTTTCTTTTGCCCAACAAACAGTAATTTTGAAATTACTGGAAGGACCACTTAAATTTAAAATCAAAAGTTGATCAATTCAAGACATTATTGATTAAGGATAAATTTTGGCAAATAAATCTGAGAGAAAGGATGGACAAAGAGAATGGAGATAAGGTTAGCGACTCATATCTACGGAAAAAGTGGAGCTAAGTGTTTTCAAACAGTGAAAAAAGAACATCTGCAATGTCAGGTTCAGACTGCTTCTATCAGAAGCTGAAGAACAGAAGACCATCTTTTATAAAACTCAGCTGGGAAAGGCTTTTAGCTGGACTTGATTTCCACATCATTAACACTTCTACATATGAAGTGACCTCTCTTTTAAGTCATGAAAACCCCCCATACTATCAGAAAATTGTTATTTGGTTATTGCAAATGATCAGTGTGAAAACAGAGTGGTGAAAATCATTACTAAAAATCATGGAAACATTAAAAAGATCCAAGTAGATCTGTCCTTATGACAGCAGGCATTGTGTGACACTGTTCACAGGGGTCTTAGGATGAGGGAAGAGACGAGGATCTGACTCCATGTTTCAGAAGGCTTGATTTATTATTTTATGATATATATTACATTAAAACTATACTAAAAGAATAGGAGATAGGATTTCATCAGAAGGCTAGCTAAGAATAGAAAAAGAAAGAATGATAACAAAGGCTTGTGGCTCAGACTCTCTGTCTGAGCCAGCTGACTGTGATTGGCCATTAATTACAAACAACCACATGAGACCAATCACAGATGCACCTGTTGCATTCCACAGCAGCAGATAATCATTGTTCACATTTTGTTCCTGAGGCCTCTCGGCTTTTCGGGAGGAAAAACCCTAAGGAAAGGATTTTTCATGAAACGTGTCTGTGACAGGCACTGGACAGTGCAGACACTCAGGAGACACTGGTCACGTACTGGATTAACATGATGAATGGACAACAGTATCATCCAGCAGCACTCAGCCAACACAGAGTTGATGTATCAACCCCTAATAAACTGTAAATGCTCTCAACAGGTTGTTTTCTCACCTCAGTGACTCTGTCCTGTTGATCAGAGGCCGGCAGGGGGGTGGTGGTGGTGAAATATATAACAGTGGTTCTTCTGAGACTATCATTAGTGCTTTGTTATCAGATACAGAACGGTCATACCTGGGAAAAATCAACAAAAGCACAGCAAGAAATCCCTTAAAAAACTTTTTCATGACGCTTTGACCAAAGCCAGAGAATGAGCACTATCACCAGCAGACCCATGAATGTTACAGCTGCTCCTGTGAGACCTCTGAAACAGGTGAGTAACAATTCCTATCAAACATCCAATGTTCTTAGTCAATCCCTCAAAGGGGGCTGACAGCTCTCAGTGCAGGGCAGACAGATGAGCATTAGCAGATGTTGGATCTCTTCCCAAGAAGGCCAGATAATGATAGAATATGTAGTCTGTAAAATATTCCTCATAGTATGCAAACTATGTGATGTCTGCAGACACAACTTTCTTTTTCATTCCAGAGCTGTGCAAGACTTGCTACAGAAATACTAAATTTATTACCCACTAAAACCATGCAGATAGAAAGACCATAACCTATGTAACAACTGAGCAGCCACAAACTATATTATAACTGAATGGAGAGGATTTACATCTCTGTCTCCAGAAACTAGCTTAGTTTTGATAAGAAGTGAAAAGGAGCATGTATTTCTCAGTACAAAAATCCGTAACACTCAGCAATTCCTGAGGGGTTAACTATTTATCACCAAATATCTAATGTAGGTTTCTCTCCTGACTGGTTATCAATGTGACAGCTGTACTCCTCTTGATTTTGACAGACTTGTAGCTCCTGAACCTCAAATTCTTTCTGAAAATTCAGGTATAAGAGCTTATGAAAGCCTTATTCATAATCCCCTCCCTTTCCCAGCTTTCTCTCCAACTTCATGTCCGCTTCTCTCTATTGCATCTAGGACTGATAAAGAATATGCAGCAAAGAGCTCACAGCTTGCCAAACCCAGGGAGGAGCAGAGAAAGAAAAGGAGGTACAGGCACGAGCACATCCTCCTGAGAGAACCACTCCACTCTTCTGTCCCACAGGTCATGGTCTGAAATGCAGCACGTAGGATACAAAGCCCTCACCATGGCTACAGCCTTGAAATGCTCCTGATTTATTGCTTTCTTTTTGCATGGCAAAATACATTAGGGCTTTCTGCACATCTGTGCCTGGCTTTGTTCAACCAGCCAAAACACTCTGCTGGAAAGGGACAGTCTAATAGGATAGATCTTGTAACGGGAAAACATGAGCTGTATTAGCCAGACTTCAATCTGGAGGCAATTATATGTTCACTTATGCATTGCATGCTGGAGATCTAGGAAGCCTGAAAGGCAGTATTGAATTAAATAATGGATAAGCACAGGGATGACTCAGATAGACTTTTTAAAATGAAAAAGAGACTGCAAAGTGCATAGTGTGTTCTTACTTGTGAACATCCTAGTCTTCTCTGGAGCAACTAAGAAAACAAGTACTCCAGCATGAAAAGTAAGAAGAGATAGATAACATGACAGCAATCACAACTATCCAACCTAAAATATATATCAGAGGAAAAAAGCAAACAGCTGAATTGAAGAAGGTCCTGGAAGTCTTGGTGACAAGCACTTGTGGATAAGCTCTTCCCTAACACCGTGCAGCACAGCCACGTGTACACTTGTGAAGCTCTACACATTGGGTACTCTGGGAGATAAAACATCATATCCATTTGTAAAGCAAACTGAGAAGCTTTCAAAACACTGTGCTTAGAACTCAGGTACTCTGTAGAAGCAGCAAGAGCACCGGCCAAAAAGGTGAGCAAGACAGTGAGGGCAAAAAGCACCAGAGCCCTCTGCCACCCAAAATACGTAAAAGGTTTTGATCTCACCTGTTACTCTTCTCTGAAACAATGCCCTCAGGTATCTTCTGAGCTGTGCTGGACTCCTGGTGAGCTGAGAACTCCAGAAGATTTCTGGTCCGGTGGTTAGAACTCACAGTGGAATCTACTCCATTGGGATCCTTTTCAAATACACTGGAAAACACAATAAACATAGCAAAATGTATCACACACGTAAGAGCTCTGCAAGGCACTTTTCTGTAAGGCATTTAACACTCAGGTGGAGAAGTTTCTGGCTGCTGTTACATTACTTGGATAAGGTTCATGTTGTATCTACTGTAAAAAACTGAGGCGTCATTATAATATCATTGTTCAAAGCAGTAGTAGTCAGAAAAGAATTTCTGTTCTCTTTTTCAGTTTTAATTGATTGAAGGATTCAGATGCTCTAGTTTGCACATTCCCTCACACAAACTTCACCTGCTGAAACTAAGAACACTTGTAACCCAGGTCTACAGGGATAAGAAAATGATCGACAATCAAGTCAAAGCACGCCAAAACTTCAACTTTCATCAGCCTCAAAGTACAATCTACATAGTTTATATGAATACAACATGCAAGGAAAACTTGGCTATCAAATTCCGTGCAGCTGCAAGCCTGGAATGTTACACCAGACATCTACCAGGACTGTACGCAAACCTAAATATGTTCAATTCTACTTGGATTTAGAACAACTGGCAGGGCCAACAGCCCCATGGGCAACAGGCCATGGTGCAGACACCCTGATCTGGAGGATCCTGGCCTGGAGGCTGCTCAGCCAGCCAGGAGTGTCTGTGCTGCCCTCCATGCAGAGAGGGAGCAGCACTGCACATGTGAACAGACAACCCCATCTTCAGAAGGGTCAGCTACAACTGAGAACTCTCAAAAGCACAGAAGCAATACTTCAATTTCTCCTCTCCAGCGGCTGGCTTTCCTCTTTCATAACACAGTTGCTTCCTGAAATATGCATGTTTACAAACCCAAATCCTAACCTTCTTGGCTGCCAACAGCAGAGCATCACCAGCAGCAACAGAGTGAAAACATAAAAATGCAATGCAGCGCACTGACGAGATCTCTGCCATTCATGCTGATAGCAGTTCACGGGGTGTATTTTAACTCATGCCCCACCCCTCCTGTCCAGCAGACAAGTATTTCTTGGTTTTACATGGCATCACTTTGCAACAGGCAACAAATACAAATGGAGACAGGCAAAACCTAGCAAGGAGGGCAGATTAAATACTCCACAATTAAGCAGAAGGCAGACAAAATTGCCTAGAAATTCCTTCTCTTTTGCCAACACTTTTGCACTCCTATTAGCAGCGACCCAGTGAGCAACTGTGTCATGTTCTGAACCAGAGGAGTCAGGACAATCCTAGACTCAGGCTGATGTTGCTTTGACTGCCTCCTCTCCTCCAGGTTTCTAGGCAGCAGCACGGAATGAGGGCAGCAGAAATGCTACAGGCTCTGCTTTCACTTGTGCCAATGGGCAGAAAAGTACTTACAGTTTCCTTACGGCCTGTGTACAGTGTATCCAAATGTCTCATTGCTTCTACTGCACAGAAAGCTGGATGGTTTATTCATTATCTCCTATCGGGCAACACCAGGCCTATCCAATTTTACAGAATCAATCCCCACTACCTACTAGGTTTTATGAGATCACATCTCTTCTCTGCCAACGAAAGCATGAGCACAACTGGCAGCATCTCAAGCCCAAGAACCAGAGATCAAAACTAAGGCTGATGTTTAAACAGATGCCTCACATTCCTGCTGGAAGCCACTCACCTGTGAAATGCCCTTACTGTACTTAATCTGGAGTCATGACAGCTAGAAGTACATGGCACTTTATTCATTAGACCAAGAATATCCCTCAGAAGATCTGAAAGTTGTTAACTCTCCTGCAAATCCCTTCTCCACAGCCTGAAGTGTATCAGCCATCCAGTGTGCTGCTGGACCTCCTGGATCTGGTGTTTTAGCCTATCCTACTTCTCTTCTTTCCTATTCAAAATGACACACAGAACCAGAGAAACTGTCCACGTAATTACTTTGTTAAAGCTGAGACAAAAATCTAAACAGAAGAACTGCAACACACTGGTTTTTATCCATGATGCTTTTCCTTCCTATTTGTCTCATTCTGCAAAAGCAATTCTTGTTATTTCAGGTTCCAGCTTGGCGAGGTGAAGTGTCACATACAATTCATTCCTGCTGCAGCTCACCCTGAACTGCCAACAACAGAGACAAATCCAAACCAAGGATAAAGACACACACTGCACCACAAGCACAGCTAATCTTCCTTTCTGTGATTTAGTTGTTTTAGCTACACACCCATTCTAAACCACACACACCACATTTATTGCATCAGCTCTAGAAGACAGGAAATGTTTATTTTCCCCTCTTCTCAAGCATAAAACATCTGTATCTTTTCATCAACTGAGCATGGGATGTTTCAACCTGAAAGAAGATACCTTCAAAAGCAAAAGGCAAAGAAGGAGGTGAACAGAGTATGCTTTGCCATCCTTACAAGCATAAACCATGGTGCCCACTTCTCACAATGTGAACACAAACTTGAGAACAAGATATGATATCAGGGTATTTTTCCCAATGCCCTCTCCTTTATCAGGATCGTTTATTTTTCTTTTGAAGCAGAGCTAGCAGCAATTTCTGCTATATAGGCCACTTTTGCACTCCCTCTTTCCCATTCTTTTTCTAGGACATTGCAAATGACTGTTCCTTCTCAATGTCTCAGATATGTCTGAAAAAAAAGAAATGTAAAAATTCCCTTTGTTGCTCCCCTGGTTTGTGGCAATGGCCTGAAACCAAAATAACTTTAGTTCTGGATAAGAAAAAGTCCCACAAATTGAAATCCTGTCCCACTTTCCCCTTCTAATTACTTGGGGAGTTTTGCTAGTTTTGTTAGTTTTTTCCCCATCTGAACAGAAGATGTTGTTCTGATGTATCATTTCTTTCTCTTCTCTTCTCCCCAGAGGGAACACTAGTCAAGTTTGTCTATAAATAGGGCTCCATCTTCAGGAAACAAATAGGAGAGGACATGTAGTTAATGGTCCATGTCCTCCAGTTTCTCCAAGTCCTTTCCTTGCCATGTGGGTACCTGAGGGCCTGAGACAGGGCACCAGAAATATTCATCTCAAATTAATATGGGGGAGAAGCATGACTTAGGAGCAAGGAATCCCTTCAAGCAGCTGGGATGATGATGGACCTGTCCTGCAGAGCTGCATCTGGAAACATCTGCTGACCTCAGGCACGCTGAGCTTCACAAGTGCCAAGCAGAACAGCAACAATACAAGCAGCAACAGGAAGGGTCTACAGAACACATCCCAGCACCACGACACTGAGGAGCAAGTAAATATTGGGCATTTAAAAGCATCAGGCAGAAGAGGCCAGCAAATGTGAAAAAGAAAGGTAGAAGATCCCATTCAGAGGGAAGAAAGTTTCAGAAAAACAGTATTTTCAAATAAGATACCAACAGTTAGTTTAAGAACCAGTTTAATATGACAGATGGCAAAAGCCTTGTCAGTTTTTTCATCCTGTTGAGCTACAAGATGAGAAGTTGGAAAAGGAAGAGCACTTTGGCATACCTGCTCTGTGCAAGTCCTGCTAACTGCAGGAACAGAGTCACTGCCCCACATTACAAGTAAAAAAAGACTGAAGCTGAGAATTGGCTTTACTGGGCAAGACAGTCTTTTAGAAGTTGGAATCTTTCCTTGGAATCTTTCTTGTTTAGCTCACTCACACACCTGGGGTGCCTAGCAAGGCTTTAGAGCCTGCATTTGGACATCCCAGATACTGTGAGCATGAAAGGGTTTTCACAAGCCACAAACACCCTGTCCAAGCTGGCTGAGCTCTTGGCTTGTTCAGATGCAAAACCAGATCCAAGGGAAAAAAGAAAGAACCACTAAATACTTCATGCAGATGTTTGTTCCGACGGGTAGATAAATTTGATTATAAGAGGGAAAGAAAAGCAGCACTCCTGCCATGGTTTCTCCAGGCATTCAACGGCACCTGATATTTTAGCTGTATTTTTACTTCTTTGGTTCGAATGTCAGTTTGATAAATGTGAAAGCAAGTCTTGCCAGGAGCCCAAACTAAATTTCATTTGTGCTTCTGGCTGAACAAATCCTGTGCGTTTCAAGTTTTGAATACTGACATTTAAGTTGCACAGTAATTTGTAGATGAAAGCCAATAGTGGTATCATAACAAAGAGTTTTCTGGGGACAGAACTCTGAGCATGAGCTGGGAAGTTTCCAACAAGCTAAAGTTGACATTGCAAGGAGACACCAACCAAAGACCTTGTCCTCTTCCTAACTGATTCCAGACAAGACTGCCTTAGTGCCAGACACTCTCTGGAAAGTATTTCTCCTTTCTACTCCCAATGAGTGCCCCATCTGCTGACAGCAAGGCTCTGCCTTCTCCTGAGGGCTGCTCCACAGCTGCTCTCCTCTGAGGGCTGGGCTGGAGAGAGCAGCCCAGCCTTCCTCCTCTGCACTGGAAGAGGAGGAAAGCAACCCAAAGAGGAATTTTTGTATATTTTTGCTGTGTTTTGCATGCTTTAAATAGTAATTAATTTAAATAGCAAAATTTTAATAAAGCCTCTGGAAAGGAAGAAAACAGATATTGACACCCAGAGCACTTTTTTTTTGCTTAGAAAACTCCATACCATTATCTGGCCTTTATTGCCAAAGCTTGTGGCTGTGATCAGCAGAGGACAGAGGAAGGAATCCCTTCCTGCTCCCAGAGTTATAGTTTGTAAGAAAACCAAAGATATCCAATTTTGTTCCAGCACCAACTATCAAGAGAGGTATTGAAAGGTCTGGAACCTAGACCCATATCCAATTCACTCAGTCTGTCCTTTTTCTCTCGATTTCTCCCTCTGTCTTCAAGGAGAAACTACAACACAAGACCAAAGGTGTGCTGCAGAAGCAGTTTTATATCTTTTGGCCATCTCCAACACAAATGTACACTCAGCTCAGCACTGAAACATTTTCTTTCAGTGTCACAAACAACATATTAAGTTTCCTGTACTACAAGTGTTAAGATCCTCAAATGCCTTCTGATGCTTCTGCTATAACACCCAGAGGGCTTCATCTCTCCTTGACAGCCAGAAGCCACAGGCCTGCCTTACACAGCACTGTTTTATGCCTCAT